GTGCTCGACGCGTTGCTGGAGGGGCACATCGAGATCCAGAAGCTCGGTCGAGTGGGGCCGGGTGCCACCGGCGGTGGCCACGGCAGGCTGCTCAAGCGAGACATCGAGTGGCGGGGGGCTCCGTCTCCTCGCTTCGCGTGGAGAGCAGATGACTCGCACGTGGACAACCGACTCGAGCTCTTGGCCCTGCCAGCTGGCGCGACGAAGCCTCAGACGAGCCCAGGCTCGAAGGCCGCGGGGGGCTCCGTGCCCATGGGGGCGGTCGTGGACGAGCGGCTTAAGAGTTTGGTGCCCAAGGCAGGCGGAGTGCTGACCTACCTGTTCCAGGACGTGCCGCAGGTAGAGTACGCAGCGAAGATGGTCATGGCGGAGGCGTCGAAGCCTGCGCCACTGGCTGAGGTCAGGCTCAAGCGTGCTGCACGGTACCTGGTTGGGAGCCCAGTGACGGAGTGGCACTGCATGTTGCAGGACCTCCCGGCCCCGGCGGACGTCGAGGGCGACGTCGACTGGGCAGGAGCGGATGACGCGCCGTCCACGCAGTGCGCCGTGATGGCGTTCGGCGATCACTGCCTGGAGGTGACTACGTCGACGCAGGGCTACGTGGCGACGTCGAGCGGGGTGGCAGAGCTCCTTGCTCTCAACAGGGCGGGTGCCCCCGCTATCCTGTTGCAGCAGATCCCCGCACTGTGCGGGTTCCACGCGCAGGGAGTTGCTGGCGCGGACAGCCCGGCATCGAAGGGAATGGCCCACCGAGTGGTGTCAGGCCGAGTGCCGCATCTCCGTATCCAGGACCTGTGGATACAGGAGAGAGTGCGGACGAAGGATCTGGAGGTGATCAAGTTGGGCGCGGCGGTGAACCGAGCTGACATAGGGGCGAAGTACCTGGTCGGCTCGAGGATCGAGGTCTTGCTGAAGCTCATAGGGGTGGCGACAAGAGGGCGTGCGGCTAGCCGTGCGAGCGACTCCACGGCGGCCATGCTGAAGGTTGTGCTGGCAACAGTGTATGTGCGTGGCGCAGCGGGGGCTACCGCAACCACGGGAGGAGAGACCAGTGCGACGGCAGCGCGATTGGCATCGTCACGCCGCTGTTCCTGTTCATGCTGGTGTACATGATTGGGGCCGCAGTAGCAGTGCGCGACCTTGTCAAGAGGCGCTCGGGGGAGCGCCAGCCCGACACTGCGGGCGGCGAGGTGGTGGAGGGCACCGACGACGGACGAGGCGAAGGCGCTCAGGGCGGACGAGAGCGGGAAGCGCCGCCTCTAGCCATAGAGGGCGCGAGCGCTCAGGTCGGACGAGAGCGGGGATCGCCGCCTCCAGCCTCAGAGGGCGCGAACGAGGGGTCCGCGGCGGGAGGCTCCGTGCCGATCAAGAGTGAAGGACCTCGGCAGCGACGACAGGTCGCGTCGAGGATCGCGGAGTGTCAGTGCGAGGAGCTCCACGGCGTTCCGTTCAGTGGTGAGCAGATAGCCGTCAGAGACGAGCTGATGCGCTACATTGTGGACGAGCTGAAGGCGGCGTTGAGGGCGCGGGGCCTTAGCGCGACGGGCTGGAAGGCGAACCTCGCCAGCGGGCGAGGATGGTGACAGGGCCATCCAGGTCCGGGCGGGGCCCGAGGCCGACTATCGACGAGCTGGTCGAGTCGGCGGCGACTGCGTCGGCTGCGAGCGCCAGCGCCTGAAGGTGCACAACAGCACCTGAGAGACCGCTCCCAGCGGCAGGCCCCGCGGGGGGCGCCGCGCCTCGCTCCGCAAAGACGCGGCGAGGAGGCGTGCCAGAGCAGTGAGTATAGTTTAGGGATGTTGTGCTTGTGCGGGCGCAGGACCGCAGCCCTCTTTGTTCGAAATGAATTGCGGCTTCGTGGGGGGCGCCGCGCACTATAGCCATATGGCCTCATCGCCTTATCGCCCCATAACCCCAGAGCCCCGCAACCTCATAGCCCTATAGCTCTACAGCCCTATAGCCCTATGGTCCTACAGCCCTAGTGCGCTATAGCCCTACGTACCTACCTATAGCCCTACGGCCCTATATCCCATATAGTCCCACAGCCCTATAGCCCAACAACGATTTGGATTTGCTGTTTCTCCAGTGTCACATTCATGTATGTATGGACTGTTGCATTGGTTTTTATGCGTGTGCATGTATGTATGTATGTATGTATGTATGTATGTATGTATGTATATGTCTGTTTGTATGTACGTATGTACGTATGTACATGTCTGTCTGTCTGCGTGTCTGCCTGTCCGTCTTTCTGTGTGTCTGCCTGCATGTATGTATGTATGCGTGTATGTATGTACGTGTGTGTATGTATTTGTGTCTATGCATGTATGTGTGTATGTCTGTCTGTATGTATGTATGTATGTATGTATGCATGCATGCATGCATGCATGCATGCATGCATGTATGTATGTATGTATGTATGTATGTATGTATGTATGTATGTATGTCGGCGTGCCGTGCTGCGTGTGTTTTTGTATGGGTATTCGTATGGGTATGCGGATGGGTATACGTATGTTGAGTTGTGTGTCCATGCAAAGTGTGTGACACGAGTCTCGCGGACCCCCCCCCAAAAAACACGCGTTGCATCATCTGCGTTGTACATTTGTGGTGCAATACGATCACGATGCAACGTGTGCTGTGCAATTTATGTGGTGCAACATGCGTGGGTCAGTCCATCTGGTGCACTGTATACGGAGCAAAGTCAGCGCTGACATCCATTCGATGCAATACATATGTCGCAATATGCACGGCGCCCTATGGTGGGTGCCGTATGGGTGCTGCCAGCCACAGGGCGCACCTGCATAGGGTGCCAGCCACAGGACACCGACCTTGAAACACCGACAGCGACACAATGCCAGCCACAGGGCACCGACGCAGAGGGAACCAGACGGACGGCACCGACGGGAAATGGCTGGCTGCGACTTCAGGGGCCGGCCACAGGGCACCAGCTCATGGGGCACCTGTCGTAAGACACCGATATGGCATTTCCGACTGCGACGTAGCGGGCCAGCCATGGGCACCCACGTATGGGGCACCAGTCATGGCGTGTCGACGGGGATCGGTCGACTGCGACACAGATGGCCAGCCAAAGGGCACCTACGTACGCAGAGGGCACCAGCCATGGAGCACCGACCAGGGACGGTCGACTGCCGCACAGAGGGCCAGCCGTAGGGCGCCAATGCATGGGGCAGCAGCCATAGGGCACCGACCGAGATCGGCCGACCGCGACACGGAGGGACAGTCACTTGGCATCAACGCACAGTGTACCGGCCGTGGGGCACTGGCCAGGAACGGCCGAATGCATGCGTCAGCGAGATAATTTCTCAGAGCCCACGGAAGACTCGGTCCGTTACCGCACTGTTTAGAGGTACAAGCTTATGGAGTTGACAGGCGGCAGCGAAACCGTTCAATGCTGCGCTGGCTTCCTGGCTGCACGGCGCAGGATAACCATGCCACACTTTGAAGGATGTCTCCTGTTTTTGTTCCCTGCACTTGGGGCGCATGGCGGCCGCAGAGTTGGCAGTGCTGGCGTTCGCGCTCAGGCTGCCCGCGCAAGAGCGCCAATCATCTCTTCCGCGCGGTATGCCGCGTCAGCGGCCCACGCAGACCCACCGCGTTGGGTCGTCGTGTCACCGCGCGTGGCACGTGACTATTTTCGTCGCCCACACGATATGATGGTGTATGCGACCCTTGCTGGGGAGGTTACACCCCAGCAGCTCTTGCGTGAGATCCCGTGGTACATACCCTTCACACGGGGAGCGGCCCTCTCGAAGGAGAGGGAGGGGTGCGGACACGATCTGCGACCGCTTACGGACCCTACCCCTGCGGGCCCAATCGGCATTGGGCCCTTGTTGGGGCTCACTTTGGTGAAGAAGCCCCGAAGAGGAGGAGGATGAACAGAACAAGGAGGATGGTGATGGGATGAAGATGAGGAGGACGAGGAAGGGCAGGAGGAGAAGGAGGGATTTAGAGGATGACCACGACGAGGAAGAGTGTGAGGATGATGGAAAGAGCGTGTTCTACCGCTGCTGGCGGAAAACCGGGGGGGGGTCACTACCGGTTCGAACCCCTCCCCCCCCTCCTTCCCGAAAACTGGCTGGGGTCACTACCGGTTCGAACCCCTCCCCCCCTCCCCCAGGTCCTCATGAAAAGGGGAAGGGGGTCACTACCGGTTCGAACCGCCCCCCCCCCTCGAGCTCGAAAACCGTGGGGGGTCACTACCGGTTCGAACCCCCCCCCCTCGAAAACCGAGGGGGGGGTGCGGACAGTGGTGGGGACGGTGGTGGTGGGGACAGTGGTGAGGGGACAGCGGGACAGTGGTGGGGACAGTGGGACAGTGGTGGGGACGGTAGTGGTGGGGACAATGGTGAGGACAATGGTGGGAACAGTGGGGACAGTGGGACAGTGGTGGGGACGGTGGTGGTGGGGACAGTGGTGAAATGTGGTGGAAACAGTAGGACAGTGGAGGGTACAGTGGTGGTGGGGACAGTGGTGAAGGCGGTGGCGAGGACGGCGGTGGGACAATGGGACAGAGGTACAGTGGGGACAGTGGTAGGGACAGTGGGGACAGTGGTGGGAACAGTGGGACAGCTCAGTGGTTCGAACCGGTAGTGACCCCCCCCTCCAGGTTTTCGAGGGGGGGGGGGGTTCGAACCGGTAGTGACCCCCCCCGGTTTTCGAGCTCGAGGGGGCGGGGGGGGGGGGGGGTTAGGGGAGGGGGGGGTTTTGCCGGGGGAAGGGGGGGGGGGGGGGGGAGGGGTTCCAGCAGGGGGGGGGGGATTTTCTCGGGATGGGGTGGGGGGGACCCCTGGGTTTCGGAGGAAAAGGGCGGCAATTTTCCACAGTAAAGCGGCGGTGGATCACGCTCTCTCATTTGATGGTATCGAGAGGGTGGAAGGGAAGGACTGCGAGAAGCATGATGGTCAGATGGAGGAGGAGGAGGAGGAGGAGGAGGACCGAATGATAAGGAGTGTGAGGACGAGGAAGAGGATGAGCCAGACAAGGACGGAAGCGTGGACTGCGGCCCCTGCAAGCACTTGGTCCTGGTGGGTCAGCACGCGAGCTGCGACGAATACTGCCAGAGCTTCCAGCAGGATCTGGGCGCTGCCAGGCGGTGGTAGGCCGTTCACCGCTGTGTGAGCAATAGTTCTTAGAACGTTCCTCGAGATCCAGGCGATGTATGTTTTAGCACAGGGCGTTTCCGCCCGGATTCGGTCCTCGGGACCATTAGGGGTCGATCGGGCTCGAAGTATTCAGCAGACAGATGGAATGTCGGGATTTGCTCGTGATGTTTCGCGATGTTGCATGTTGGTGTTTCGCAGCGTCGAATGTGAATGCATATCGGTCCTTTGGTCAGTCTACCCTTCTTGCAATTACTACTCTCATTTACCTACTATTTTGTCGTGCCATTACGTTGGTAGTTACTTTGGTATGCCTGTTCCCGCTGCTGCTAGTAGTCCCCGTACTCAATACTATGGTTTTGCATGCAGTGCTGCGCTGACCGCATACTTGGCTCCCGTTTGTGGTCTTATTGTGACGGTGGGGCGTCGCGGGGCTCCGCATATGGTTGTCGCCTACAAATCACTCAAACGGCAAACAAAGCCCAATGCTTGCACCGATCAACGCAGTGTTAACGCTGTGCCAGCAATCAAACACTGCATATTAGGAAAACTACTATTGGGGCATCACCTTGCTATCGCTTCATTCCTGAGTTGACGTGGTCCTCTTGTGTTGCTTTGGTGTGCCGGCTGCGTACCCTCACGCATGATCCCTTGATGTTTTTTTGGTGGTTGTGTGTTCGTGTGTGCACGTGTGTGTGTGTGTGTGTGTGTGTGTGTGTGTGTGTGGTGTGGCGTGTGTATGTGTGTGTGTGTGTGCGCGTGTGCGTGCGCGCGTGCGTGTGTGCGTCCGTACGTGCGTGCGTGCGTGCGTGCGTGCATATATGTATATATATATATATATATATATATATATAAATCCGTGTTTGTGTGCGTGTGCGTGTGCTCAGATTCACGCATTGTTTACGATACGTCCTTCTGTAAGCTTTGTTGTCAGCCTCGGCATGTGTATCTCCCCTTCCTCGTTGTTTGCTCTTTCCCTATTGTTTGTCTGCATGCTCCGTGCACTCCTATAGCCCAGCCTGTAGCATTTGTCGCATTCTCCTACTACGGTCGTGGTTAGTAGGGAAGGGGAAGGTGTTTACCGTGCATGCGAAAAGGGAAACTTATCATCTGTAGCACTACTGTCCTTTTACTTCCTTCTTGTACTTCTTGTAGCATGCGGATGGGTAAGGTCATTACCTTGTTGAAGGTCTTTACCCCCTTTCTCCTCGTATTATTCGACTCCTCCTGTGATATCTTGAGACCTTCTTTGGGCATCCCGCTGCTTTGCAGGAGCTCCCTTTTGGCAGTCTTGGTGCTTTGCTGGTGCCTCTTGCAGCTTTCTTGAAGCTCTCCTGAACCTCTTAGGGGCTTCTCGCGTGATGTCTGGATGCGCCGCAAGAGGAAACACCACTACCATATGATTGGCTAGGTACAGTCAACCATAGTTTTGACTACGGAGCACGTCAGCTAGGCTATCGCAGCAACCTTGCCTGTTCGGCTCATCTTCAACCGTTGATTCGACATGGACGCTGCTGCGATCGTTTTGATCTGATTCTCACGTTTGACGGCATTCCAGAGCAAGCTCGGTGCTGCGCGCACAGCATCGATATATAGTGAACAGGTCAGGGCGCCATGTCAGACTTCAGGCCGCTGTTCTGGAAGATTCTGGCGCCCAAGGAGGGCTCTATGTACCACGTTTTTGTCTGGCTCGGGTTGCACCGCTCTAGTCCACTTCGGAACCAGCCGCCGCCCGTCCCGGAGCGCTTTTTTTGAGCGCGCCGAGGCAGATCCAGCCGTGGCGGCGAGACCCCTCCCACTGTGGCCTGAAATGGCAAAGAGAGATCACCGCCCACCAAACCACCCCAACCCAACCCGAAAGCCCCGATTTGCCCTCCATTTCCAGTGGGGGGGGTCGGAAAACATTGGAAAAACACATTCGAAGCCCGTACCCCCCCCAACCCGAAATTCGGGTCTCCGGGTTGGGTTGGGGTGGTCTGGTAGGTAGTGAAGAGAGAGAGAGAGAGAGAGAGAGAGAGAGAGAGAAAAAAAAAAAAAGAAAAAAAAACGAAAGCGTGAGAGGAAGGGCAAGACCCGCAGAGTCTGGGTGGATGTGAGGGCCCCAGGCCTCCCGACCCCGTGACAGGGGCTGCTTTCTCACCCCGGGCCGTACTGTGCTGGTCTGGTGCCCGCTGCAGTCTTCCAGAGGCTTCGACGTTTGAAAAACTGACCGTCTCGAGTTGTCCGCACCGGAAGAGGTTGGCCATTTCCCCCACTCCCCCTTTGTCAGGGGCGTCTAAGAGCGGGGTGAGGATTGGGGGGGGGGGGCGTGGAATATCTCCCAGATTTCATGGAACCCCTGTCTTCTGATGATTACTCGGATGTGATTCATAGTGCAACTAGCAATGCAACTAGTGGCCTCCCCTCGTCCTCGCACATGCGTCGAGCCATGATGCGCAACCCTCCTCTTTCTGTCCTCCCTCTTCGGCGCACCCGCTCCTCCCCCCGAGGAGTGCTTCTACGCCGCGGAGGACCGGAACGGGCCCGGCGGGGACACTGGGGAGTGCGCCGTTCTGGCCGACGTCACGTGCAGCACCAACTTGGCGGAGATGCAGGCCTGGGGGAGGCGGCGGAGTAGGAGGAGGAGGAGGAGGCAGAGAAGGAGGAGGCTGAGGCGGAGCAGGAAGCGGAGGAGGAGGAGGAGGAGGCGGAGGAGGAGGAGGACGAGGCGGGCTGTCTCCTTCTCTTGCTTGTCTCCCAGCGTCTTGCATGCTGTGGCCGCGAGGATGCTGCGCCATTCGCCGCTTAGGAGGACCCGAGGCTTCTCGTGGGATCCAGGAGGTTTTGGCGGGCTCGGTGGAGGAAGAGGAGTGAAGGAGGAAAAGCAGTGGAAGGAGGAAGAAGAGGCTGAGGGAAAGAGAGGAGGAGGGTGAGAAGGACTGCTTGGGCCTCCTGCGGGTCTTCGTCGCCACGGAGGGTCACGCCTCGAGATCTTGCTCAGAAGTCCTTCCAAGCAAATATTGCGATGGGTGGTTTCGAGGAAACGATGATGATTTTGATGATGGCGATGATGCTGAGGATGAGGATGAGGATGAGGACGAGGGTGATTATGATGAGGATGAAGTTGATCATGATGAGGATGTTAATGATAATGGTGATGAGGATGATGATGAACACCATGATGGCGACGAATGCTGCTGCTGATGATGATGAGGATGATGCTGTTGAGGATGAGGATCGGGATGATGAGGATGATACTGGTGCTGATGTCAAGGCTGCTGCTGCTGTTGCTGTTGATGATTCTGGTGATGATGAGGAGGATGAGGATAAGGATGAGCATGAGGATGAGGATGATGATGCTGCTGCTTATGATGATGATGATACTGATGTTGAAGAAGCTGATGATGAGGATGATTATGGTGCTGACGATGATGGTGAAGGTGATGATGAGGGTACTGATCATGGTGCTGTTGCCGGATATGCTAATGATGTGAACACTAGTGTTGATATTGATGCTGATGTTGGTGTTGATGCTGCTGCTGATAATGCTGGCGATGATGATGTTGCCGATGGAGATGAGTCGGATGGCGACGATGATGATGACGATGGCGACGATGATGATGATGATGTTGATGTTGGTGATGATGATGCTGCTGCTGATGATGATGCTTATGACGATTGGGATGAACACGAGTATGATTATGATTGTGATGATGCTGACGATGATACTGATGCTGATGCTGATGATGATGCTGATGCCGATGATGGTGATGATGACGATGATGATGGTGACGATGCTGATGATGATTGATAAATATGCAGACGCTTTTGATGATGATGATGATGATGATGATGATGATGATGATGATGATGATGATACTGATGGTTATGATGATGGTTATGATGATGCTGCTGCTGATGATGAGGATGATGATGATGATGTTGATCATGCTGCTGCTGCTGCTGCTGATGATGATGATGATGATGATGATGATGATGATGATGGCGATGGCGATGGCGATGTCGACGCTGATGCTGATGCTGATGATGACGATGATGAGGAGGGGGAGGAGGAGGATTGTGCTCGTGTTGTGTTCTCATTGACTGTTGTTGTCCCCCCGTCCGGTGGACCTCATGCTTTTTTGTTGGAGTGCCCGTGTTTGGGTTCACAACCCTTTTTCTGTTAAAGGGAAGATCTTGCGCATCATATTGTGTTGTTGGCCCCCTTTTTGCCACAACAACGGCTCCAGCATGATATTTCCTTACAGCTTATTTTGAGATCGCGCTCTCGCGCCGGATTTTCTCAGAACGTTTGCAGGAATAGTGGTCTCGCGTGGTATTTCATCGCAATGTATTTCATCGCTTCGCTCATTCCGCCGGCCCCAGAGCGCTATTTGGGGCCTCTTGGGGCCGTCTTGGGGGCCTCTTGGGGGCTTCTTGGGAGCGTCTTGGGGCTCCTTGGCGGCGTCTTGGGCTCCCCTGGGGCCTCTTAGGGGGCTCTTGGGGGCCCCTTGGGGCGGGAGGGGGGGTTGTCGATTGCAGCCACCCCCTCGGAGGCCACGATCCTCGTGAGGGGTGGCGAAAAATAGCCTCCCCCCCCTGGGGATCGCCCGGGACCCGGCCGGGATCCGGCCGGGGTATTTTTCGTCCGGGGGCCCCCAGGGGCCGCCCCCCGCGCGCGCGAACTAGAAATATTGTTAAGCAGTTACCGGAGATCTTAGCACGCCTCTGGCCCGTTGGGCCGGCGCATTGGAACCCCGCGCCCCTAACACCCAGGAATCACTCTCTCGCTCTGGACGTCCTCGCGATGCACTGGAGCATCGCGCTAAGGCTCGAGACTTCTTAGCGATTCGTGAAGGACTGCCCGTTCGGGCGCGACCCGCCCGCTGGAATTCTGCCCGCCCGCCCGGCCTGCCCGTTCGGGCGCGCCCGCCCGACCCGCCCGTCTGGTGTTCTGCCGCTTGCTCTCTCCTGCTCCGGAGCCCCTCCTGCAGATCTCTCTCGTGCTCCATCCTTCTCCCTCCCCTCCCCTCCTCTCCTCCTCTCTGCCTGGTCCATCTCCTCCTCTCCTCCTCCCCTCCTCTCCTCCTCTCCTCCTCCCCCTCCTCCCCTCCCCTCCTCTTCACCGGCTCCATCTTGTTCTCCATCCGTGGTCCCTCCCCTCCTCTCTGCCTTCCTGATTTGGGGGGCTGCGCCAGCTACACGTCGCAGGCTAGGAAGATATACCCGCCACGGGGGGGGGATCGAAGACAAAGAAGACGTGCATCGAGGGTTTGGAAGATACATGTCGAATGACACGGAGGACCGATACGAGTGAACAGTCTTACAATGCTTGTTGTTTTTCATGGTGACTCTGATGCGGGTGATGATGATGACGACGACGAGGATGACGACGATGATGATGATGATGCTGATGCTGATGACGATGCTGATTGTGATGATAAAGCTGACAATGACGATGACGATGACGACGTCGGCGACGATGATGATGATGCGTATGGTGACGACGGTGATGATGATGATGCTAATGATGATGCGGATCCTGATGTCGATGCTGCTGTTGCTGCTGACGATGATGACGCTGTTGGTGATGATTCTGATGAGGATGACTGCTGATGGTGACGATCTTGATGTTGAAGATGTCGAATATGATGACGATGCTGATGCTGCTGATGATAATGCTGTCGATGATTAGGCCCGTGCTGATGCTGATGCTGATGCTGATGATGATGATGAACTCGATGACGATGATGATGTTGATTATGACGATGCTGATGATGCTGATGACGATGCTGCTTCTGATGATTATGCTGCTGATGATGACATTGGTGGATGAGGATGTTGATGATAGTACCGATGATGACGATGATGTTGATGAGGATGATGAGGATGCTGATGGTGATGATGACTTTGATGCTGATGTTGATGATGATGCTGTCTATTTCGATGATGATGATGATGATGATGATGATGATGATGGTGATGATGATGATGCTGATGATGCTGATGCTGATGCTGATGCTGATGCTGCTGCTGATGCTGATGCTGATGATGTTGCTGATGCTGATGCTCATGCCGATGCTGCTGATGATGATGACGATGATTATGATGCTGATTGTGATGATGATGTGGCTGTTGCTGTTGCTGCTGATGATGATGATGCTGATGATGATGGTGATGATAATGCTTATGACGAGGACGATGGGGATGCTGCTGGGGATGATGAGGCCCCGAAGGATTCCTGGTGTACTCCTAACGGTTACTCCGATTCATGGTGGATGCCTGCGAGTGATCCTGAGGGGTTCCCCACGGACGCCAGAGAATCCCCGAAGGGCTCCTGAGGATTCCTCATGCACTTTCCAAGAATTCTTGAGGACCGATAATGGCTCCTGACGGGTTCTTGGCGATTCCTGAGGTAACATGGCGGGTTTCTGACGATTCCGAAGGTCCCTTGAAGATTCTTGAAGGCCGTTGAGGATACGGAAGGTACCGATGACATCTGACGGATTATTGTGGGATTCCGCGCGTTGCTCTTGCCCACACGTTTTCCTGGAGCAAGGATAGATGAAAGATAATATGGGTGCTTGAGAGTGTGCCGACCTCGCCTGGCGAAGCACCCAACCCAGAGCAGCTACGAGTAGCGCAGGATCGGGGCCTTTCCTCATAGGCGATGCGACGCGAAATGAGATGAATACCCTGTGGGGCCGCGACACGCTCGAGGGGTGTGCCAGACTTTGCGGGGCAGGAGTCGCGCATGGCATTGCAGGATGCGTGTGTATGTGGGAACCCACGTACAGGGGGAAAGGAGGATTATGAGGAGGAAGAGGAGGATGAAGAGGCGCATAATGAGGAGGAGTAGGATGAGGAGGAGGAGTCTGTTAATGAGGAGGAGCGTAAGGATGAGGCGGAGGAGGAGGAGAAATATGCTGGGGGTGATGATGAGCAGGGAGGAGGGTGAGCGTCATACATCTTGATATGGGGGCCGCGTTCTTGTCACATGGGATAGTACTAGGTGCCATCTGAGAAACATGCATCTTCCTCTGCGAATGAAACAGCCGCCATTTGGTGGCCATACTACATCTGGGTAGCCATCTAGTTTCCATGCGGGGGTCATCTAATTCGAATTGTAAATTTACACATCACGTCGAGTGGCGAACATGTTCTTCCGAGCATCATGCAGCATTCACGTGAGAGTCATGCACAGCTTCATGTGGGGACCATGCAGCCTCGCATGACAACCGTGTTCTTACATGGGAGCCACATCTGCCAAGCGGGGCGCCTGCAGTATCACTTTGGAGCCATTCTGTTCTATATGAGAAGCACGTCGTTTCACATTAGTACTCCATTTGGGAGTCGTATTAGTTCATACTGTTGGAAGGAACAGAGAGCAGCGGTGTGCATGTAACAATTGGGGGGGAGTAGTCAGGGGGGTGGGCGGGTAGCAGCTCGTGGCGTTGATCGTGACATCGTGTGCCATTTTGGCTCAAGGTGCACGATCGCCACGTCAGAAACACTCTGCATCTCAATCTGCACCTCGCCGAGCCGCAATGGATCCGAATCCAGAGCAGGCTGCCACCATTGTTACACTGACAGATGCTGCTGAATGGGCGGGCCT